TTTTTTTTTTTTCTTTGAGATGGAGTTTTGCTCTTGTTGCCCAGGCTAGAGTGCAATGGCACAATCTCCTCTCATGGCAACCTCTGCCTCCCAGGTTACAGCACTTCTCCTGCCTCAGGTGATCCGCCAACCTCGGCCTCCCAGAGTGCTGGGATTACAGGTGTGAGCTACCACACCTGGTCTTTTATCAGCTATTTCTGTCTGAAAATATGAGCTTCCTGATGGTGGGAATCTTTTGTTACTGTTCTCAGATATATGCAAAAGGTCTAGAACAATGGTTAGCATATAGTAAGTACTCAGTAATTATTTGCTGACCGGCTGCATGCAGTGGCTCACATCTGTAATCTCAGCACTTTGGGAGTCAGAGATGGACAATCACTTGAGCCCAGGAGTTCGAGACCAGCCTGGGTAACGTCGCAAAACACCTTCTCTTCAAAAAGCTACAAAAATTAGCTGGCCATGGTGGTGTGTACCTGTGGTCCTAGCTATCTGGGAGGCTGAGGCAAGGGAATTGCCTGACTGGGGCCAGGAAGTCAAGGCTGCAGTGAGCTGAGGTGGTACCATTGCACTTCAGCCTGAGTAAGCAGAGCAAGACACTGTCTCAACAAGAAAACAAAACAAAATATGTGTTGACTGAATAAAAGTCAATGACATTCTTTTTTACTTTCATCACAACTGTTTTGCAGTATTTAGAAGTATTTTAAGTAGTCATTGGTTTTTTAATGACAGAATTTGTATTTTTTGTATTGAAAATAAGCATTTTCAAAGGAAGAGCATAACTTTGATTTGAAATTTTCAGATACAGAAGTGGATGTAGTTGGCCTTTGTCAAGAAGGAAAGTTTCTTTTGGTTGGTGAGAGAAGTGGCAACCTACATCTTATTCATGTAACATCAAAACAAACACTACTCACTAACGTAAGATCTTATTATACTTTAATTTTCATTATTTAAATTCTAAATAATCTCTTGGACAACTAAAACGCTAGCAAACTATAACTTAACATGTGTTTTAAATTAAAAGAATGTTTTTTTTTTTAACAATTAAACTTTGAAGGTGTTACCACAGCTTGGATCCTGAGTTCTTGGCTCTTGTGTAAATAGAAATTAATAACAGGTCAAACAGAAATTTTTCCAGGTAAGGTTTAGTAGGCTGTGGCTCAGGGAATCGCAAGGGAGCAGCATATGGGAAAGGGATCCCAGTGCTCGCTCCCCGAAGGTCTTAGCTCTTGTCACTTTGAGGAAGCTGAGGTGAAAAAAGCAGTGACTTGTAGGCATATAGAGACAGGGAACTTTAAGCACCTGTGAATTTTGATAGCATGCTTTTTCATGTGTTGTATGTCTCATTAGCATGTTAAATCTCCATTCCTGGGTGTGATTTTTAACATCATAAGTAGGTTAAAATTAGGAACTATTCAGTGAAAGGCCACTGCTGGATTTCGTCTTGTCTTCAGCTGGCTGGATCTAGTCAGATTCTTAGCAGGACTGCTGGAGTCCCGCTTTAGTAACCTTGGAAGATGGTCAGGTTTTTATTAGGAATGCTAGAGTCCCACCTTAACACTTTGGGAGAAGTAACTCCAGGAGACAAACGGTTAGGTTCTTGTACGGTTGGGAATTTAGCTTGTTCAGCTAAGTCAGGAGGGAACAGCTTTCTGCTGTGTGACTTGGGTCAGCTTGTTAAGGGAGGCAGGAAGATAAAGGAGGGAATGCCCAGGCATATGAAGCCTTTGGGGTCTTGGTTACCATGTCTCTTGCTTGCCGGGATTCAGTTTCTTCCTTGTACTGAAAGGTATTTAAATTAAAAGAATGTTTTTTTGAAAAACTAAGCTTTGTATGTATTACCACAACTCGGATCCTGAATTCTTGGCTCTTGCGTAAATAGAAATTAACACCAGGTCAAACAGAAATTTTCATAGGCCAGGTTTAGTAGGCTTGTGGCTCAAGGAATCACAGGGGAGCAGCCTCAAAGGTATTTAGTACGCTTGTCTAAAATAGCTTTCCATTTTAAAAGCAAGATGTTTGTGACTTTCTCAGTGTTGGTTCCCAAGGGAAAAAAAAAAAAAAAAAAACAAGATGTTTGGAATATAGGCAGAATTATTGCTAATGATAATTGATAACTCTAGAGTTTAAAGAATAAAATCCTTGATTGCATTTTTCAATGTTTAATTTTATTATTTGAAATTAATTTGCATTTAGGCATTTGTTCAGAAAGCTAATGTTGAAAATCAGCGGACTTACCAGAATCTTGTCATTGAGAAAGATGGTGCAAACGAAGGTAAGTTTTCTTGAATTTTTTTGAATGACTTCTTTCTTGTTTTTTCACATGGAGTCTTGCTTTGTCACCCAGGCTGAAGTGCAACGGCCAGTGGCGTGATCTTGGCTCACTACAATCTCCCTCTCCTGGGCTCAAGTGTCTGCTGCCTCAGCTTCCTGAGTAGCTGGGATTACAGTCGTGTGCCACCACACCCAGCTAATTTTTACATTTTTAGTAGAGATGGAGTTTCACCATGTTGGCCAGACTAGTCTTGAGCTCCTGACCTCAAGTGATCTGCCCACCTGAGGCTCCCAAAGTGCTGGGATTGTAGGCGTGAGCCACCACACTCAGCCTGAATGACTTCTGACTAATAATCAAAATTCAAATTTGTAGTTAATAATTTATGTGAATTCATTGTTATGCTACTTACATTTTTTTTTGTTTTTTTTTGTTTGTTTGTTTTAGAATGAGTTTCACTCTTGTTGCCCAGGCTGTAGTGCAATGGCACTATCTCAACTCACCGCAACCTCTGTCCCCTGGGTTCAAGCGATTCTACTGCTTCAGCCTCCTGAGTAGCTGGGATTATAGGTGCCCGCCACCACACCCAGCAAATTTTTTATATTTTTAGTAGAAATAGGGTTTCACAGTGTTGGCCAGGCTGGTCTTGAACTCCAGACCTCAGGTGATCCATCTGCCTCAGCCTCCCAAAGTGCTGGGATTACAGGCATGAGCCACTGTGCCCAGCCATTTCTGTATTTTTTATACAATTTTTCCTATTAATCCAATTAATATTGTAGGAACCAATTTTTAAATTTTATTTCTTTTTAGAGATTTAAGTATATGCTTTTCCTAAATATAATATTCTAAATTTATTTTTAAAGTTTTGAGATTTCTATAGATTACCAAGGAGACATTATATTCTTTTAAAATGTGTTTCTGGGTTTCAGTATATTTATCATATTTTTATTTTGAAAAATGTTAACTGGGCCTTAGTTTATTTTAATATATCTGAGATTTTTGTTTCTGGCACATGAAGTTTGTTGTTTCAATAAAATTTCAAAAGAAGTTATCAGTGTTTTTGCAAATAACTTACTAGTTCTTTGTAAATAAGTTTTATCTGTGACATTAATATTTGATGACTAGCATTTAAATGATCAGGCTGGTGTGGTGGCTCACATCTCTAATCCTAGCACTTTAGGAACCTGAGGTGGAAGGATCACATGAGTCTAGGAGCTTGAAACCGCCTGGACAACAGAGAGAGCCCTCCACCGCTATAAAAAATAAAAAATTGGCTGGGCGCGGTGGCTCACGCCTATAATCCCAACACTTTGGGAGGCCGAGACAGGTGGATCACGAGGTCAAGAGATCGAGACCATCCTGGTCAACATGGTGAAACCCTGTCTCTACTAAAAATACAAAAATTAGCTGGGCATGATGGCGCACGCCTGTAGTCCCAGCTACTCGGGAGGCTGAGGAAGGAGAATTGCTTGAACCCAGGAGACGGAGGTTGTGGTGAGCCAAGTTCGCGCCATTGCACTCCAGCCTGGGTAACGAGCGAAACTCCGTCTCAAGAAAAAAAAAAAAATTAGCCAGATGTGTTGGTGTGTGCCTGTAGTCCCACCTGCTCAGTAGGCTGAATTGGGAGAATCTCTTCGGCCTGGAGGTTGAGGCTGCAGTGAGCTGTTATTGTACTGTTGCACTCCAGCCTGGGAGATAGAGTCTTGTCTCAAAACAAACAGAAAAAGAGCCAGGCTCAGTGGCTCATGCCTGTAACCTCAGCACTTTGAGAGGTCGAGGTGGGTGGATCACAAGGTCAGGAATTTAAGACCAGCCTGGCCAACTTGGTGAAACCCCATCTCTACTAAAAATACAAAAATTAGCTGGGTTTGGTGGTATGTGCCTGTAATCCCAGCTATTCAGGAGGCTGAGGCAAGAGAATTGCTTGAACCCAGGAGGTGGAAGTTGCATTGAGCTGAAATCGCACCATTGCACTCCAGCCTGGGCAACAGAACGAGACTCTGTCTCAAAAAAAAAAAAAAAAAATTCAAATTGACATATTTTTAAGGTAGTTTCAAATACTGTTTGTATCTGCCCGCCCGTCTTCCTTCCTTCCTTCCTCCCTCCCTACCTCCCTCCTTCCTTCCTTTCTTCCTTCCTTCCTTTCTTCCTTTTCTTTCTTTCCCACATTCAAACAGACACTGGTTTAAATTTTATATCCATGTGCCTTTTAAAGAAACTGCTTCTGACTTTATTTCAATAGGTATCTATTATATGCTACTTCTTACATACAGTGGATTTTTTTATATTACAAACCTTCAGCTTTTAAAAATTCAACAAGGTAAGTAATGCATTATATGCTTATTATTTTTTTGCAGCAATATTTACTAGTTTTATTGAGTAATTAGTAAATTTTTAAGTCCTCTCTTTAAGCTTATTTTAATTGTATTCAGTGATAATTGAGTATATACTTTTAAGTAATCAGAGTACCCTTACTCTCCTCTATTAGAGCTGTAAAAGTATCTGAATAAACGTAATTTGAGTATGGCCTTCAAGAAGTTTACAGCTTAGTTGGGGAGACAAGACATATGCTAGCACAATAATAAATGCTTTTTAATTTGGTGAATGAACCTGGAAATGGAAATACCTACGTAGTGTTAATAGTGCAGAACAATAATGTATAATATGTTTTAAGCTTGTAGTCTCAACCATTTTTCCCTCTGAGCCAAGTGAAATTATTTCAAGAATCTATTTGGAACAGATATTTAACTAACATTTTATTTTATTTATTTAATTTTGAGATGGAGTCTCTTTCTCTTGCCCAGGGTGGAGTGCAGTGGTGCGATCTCTGCTCACTGCAGCCTCCGCCTCTCACGTTCAAGTGCTTATTGTGCTTTAGCCTCCTGAGTAACTGGGATGACACGTATACACCATTATACCTGGCTAATTTTTGTATTTTTAGTAGAGGCAGGATTTCACTATGTTGGTCAGACTGATCTTGAACTCCTCATGTCAAGTGATCTGCCCACCTTGCCCTCCCAAAGTGCTAGGCTTATAGGCGTGAGCCACTGTGCTCAGCCTAAATTACTTTTTAAAAATATTGAGGGCCGGGCACGGTGGCTCACGCCTGTAATCCCAGCACTTTGGGAGGCTGAGGCGGGTGGATCACGAGGTCAAGAGATCGAGATCATCCTGGTCAACATGGTGAAACCCCGTCTCTACTAAAAATACAAAAAATCAGCTGGGCATGGTGGCGCGTGCCTGTAATCCCAGCTACTCAGGAGGCTGAGGCAGGAGAATTGCCTGAACCCAGGAGGCAGAGGTTGTGGTGAGCCGAGATCACGCCATTGCACTCCAGCCTGGGTAACAAGAGCAAAACTCCATCTCAAAAAAATAAAAAAAATACTGATATGCCAGGCCTGTGCTAGGTCTCGGATATATGACAAGATTGAAGACATGTTGTTTTCCATAGCATAATGATGGAGCTGGGAAAGTAAGAGCTCTTTCAAACAGTGAGAAGTGCAGGAGAGTCGGAGTAGGGAGAAGATCCTCTTAGTAGGAAGTGAGGTGGTAAGGGGAGGTATGGAGAGGCACTGGCTGGTGCCCTGAATATAACACAAATATGTTTGTGTATTTTGGTCAGGGGCAAAACTTGATTCTCAACATTGTTCTTTGAACCAGATTGTGTTTAATTTCACCTTGACACAAAAGATGTGTCTTGTATTATTTTATAGATTAATACAATAAATTTAGCCTGCTTTCTTTTTTAATGCAGCCATTGAGAATGTAGACTTCAGGACAGCAAAAAAGGTAAGAAAATAAAGCCATATTGTCCTCTTAAAGAAATTACATTTAATGTAAATGTAAGAGTGTATTTCTGTACATAATTGGTCTACTTCTTGATATTTTAGGAATTATGACATTTTTATAACATTTTCATTTAAAAATACATTTATAACTGATTGATATAAATTGATTTTAATGATTTTGTGGAACATAAATATATATTACATGACTTTTTTTTTTTTTTGTCCTCCTTTCTTTCTAAAGAAGAAACGTTCTTATTGTTTTTAATTTTGCAGTTACAAGGCCAAATCAAGTCCAGTTTTATTTCTACAGAAAATTATCATACTCTTGGTTGTCTCAGTCTTGCAGCTGGAGATTTAGCAAGTGAAGTCTCTGTGATAATTGGGGTAATTGTTTTTATAAAGTTTTGGTTTTTGTTGCCTAAAGTGTTTCTCACTAAAATGTTGCTGTTTTGGTTAAATTATGAAATAATTTGTAACATATAACAGAAACAAGGAAATTATAAAATTAAGGTAATCAAAAATAACTCAATAATTTTCTGTCATGGAAAAAATATTGCATTTTTACTTTCCCTGGTTTTTACCTGAAGTAAAGCATTTCTTTTAATTCTGAGAGCAGACAAAGACGGTAGAAAATAAAACCAAAAAATTCCATTGTCATAGTACCTGTGACTTTGTCACTAATAGAAAAACAGCGCATTGTTGCAGCTGTCACGAAATAATGTTTACACCCCACTATTTCAAAATTATGGTCGTCAAAGTTTATCTCAGTGTAGTTACTACTGGTGACATACAGGGACTGCCGATTCTACCGCTTTTTGTTTTTTGAGGTTTTTGTGGCCTACGTTTGTAAGTGAAATAAATTCTTTTTCAGATGGAGGTTAGCGAAAAAGATGTAAATTTTGTGCCCATCCAGCTTCACAGATCCCCTGAATCTTTTTGTTTATTTATTTATTTATTTTCTGAGACGGTGTTTCACCTAGACTGGAGTGTAGTGGTATGATCTTGGCTCATCCATCACAACCTCCGCCTTCCAGGTTCAAAGGATTCTACTGCCTCAGTCTCCCGAGTAGCTGGGATTACAGGCATGTGCCACCATGCCTGGCTAAGTTTAAATAACATTTGATTATTGGTATGTGACTTCCAGTAACCCTGATCATAATTTCTATGAATTTTGGGGAAAAATAACTAATGTTATTTATATTCAAAGAATAGGCAAAACTCAATATAATTACAACATTTGCAACATTTTTACTTGCCAAATATATATATTAACAAGCAGTCAGCTGTGTACCGTGGTATGCATCTGTGGTCCCAGCTACTTGGGAAGCTGAGGCAGAAGAATTTCGTGAGCCCAGGAGTATGAATGAGGCTGTACTAGCTCTGGTGACACCTATGATCATGCCACTTCACTGCAGCCTGGGCAACATAGTGAGATTACCGTCTCTAAAAAAAAATCAAAAAGAGAAAAGAAGCAGTCACATTTTCACAATGTACATATCTAATTTAACATTTCACCAGGGTTTTCAAATAATTTAAAATTAATATTTATAAATTTTTTTCTAAATATTTGTGGTGTTTTAATCAAAATATTCATCAACGACTATATTTTCATAATACTGGAAGAGGTCTTAAAGTTCACTGCATGTCTTTAGTGCTAGTTGCCTAAATATGCCAATTCCTCAGTAAATATTTTTGTAAGGGCTGGCATGGTGGCTCACACCTGTAGTTTTAGCATTGTGAGACAATGAGGTGGGAGGATTGTTTGAGTCCAGGAGGTTGAGACCAGCCTCAGCAACATAGGCAGACAGATAATAAATTACCCAGGTGTGGTGGTGCTCACCTGTAGTCCCAGGCACTGGAGAGGCTGAGGTGGGAGATATGCTTGAGCCTAGGAGTTTGAGACTACAGTGAGCTCTGATTGCTTCACTTCCCTCCAGCCTGGGCAATGGAGTGAGACTCTGTCTCAAATTAAAAAAAAAAAAAATTACAACAACTATGAATTCTTTTTTTTAATTCGTAAGAGGTGTAAATGTTGCCCAGGCTGGCCTCAAATGCCTGACCTTCCCTCCTCACACGCCAGGACACCTGGCCTGAGCTACCAAGCCTCCCAATAACCATGAATTCTAATAGTACACTGTTTTTTTCATTCTCTTCTGAAACCAAGAGAGGAACTGGAAGATAAAATCTAGTTAAGTTAGAATATGTAAATATATTTTGAAATTAGTAACCTCTAAAACTTACATGTTTCTACTTTGAGGAAGGCTCAGGTCTAAGAATGAAATTTGCATTTGATGTGCTATGTTCATTTTTTAAGGGAACTGGTAATCATGCATTCTCAAAATGGGAACCAGATTCTTCCAAGAAAGGAATGACAGTTAAGAATCTTATTGATGCAGAGATTATTAAAGGTAAGTTAATGAAATTGCTTTAGGCAATTATTAGTGAGTTTTAATTTTTATGTCAGTGTACTTAGGGTGACATATGAGCCATTTTTTCCTACTACTCTTTGAAACAAGCCAGAATAGTCTAATGGTTGTTCATATACAGAACCATTCTTGACATGTTACAGTTGTTAACTCTTCATTTAGGGAGGTTTTACTTTTTTTTTTTTTTTTTTNATGCAGTGATGTGATCTGGGCTCACTGCAACCTCCGCCTCCTGGGTTCAAGCGATTCTCCTGCCTCAGCCTCCCAAGTAGCTGGGATTACAGGCATGTGCCATGATGCTTGACTAATGTTTTGTATTTTTAGTAGAGACGGGGGTTTCACTGTGTTAGCCAGAATGGTCTTCATCTCCTGACCTCATGATCCACCTGCCATGGCCTCCCAAAGTATTGGGATTACAGGCATGAGCCACTGTGTCCGGCTGGTTTTAACATTTTAGTGATCACCTAACAGAAATAGAGACAGGAATAAATGAAAATGGGAACTAGTAATTATATAGTTTTGCCTTTCTGTAAATATGTTAGTTTACTGTTTAGATATATGAAACATTGAAATAAAATCCTTAGACATCTTATTTTCTCTTTTGTAGGTGCAAAGAAGTTCCAGCTGATAGACAATCTACTTTTTGTTCTTGATACTGATGTATGTTTCTTGTTTCTTGTTTGATGTTTTTACTTGATACCATGTTTTACAACAAAAATGTTGTGAGACTTAGAAAGGCAAGGGTTTTAGTTAGGGTGTATTGCTATCTTCTGTACTATGCTTTATTTCAGTATATGCATCAAAAAGTTGATCCTGAAATGTAAATTTTTTTTTTTTTGAAACAGGGTTTTGCTCTTATTGCCCAGGCTGGAGTGCAATGGGACTGTCTCAGCTTACTGCAACTTCCATCTCCTGGGTTCAAGTGATTCTCCCACCTTAGCCTTCCAAGTATTTGGGATTATAGGTGCCCATCACCATGCCAGGCTAATTTTTTGTATTTTTAGTAGAGATGGGGTTTCATCATGTTGGCCAGGTTGGATTTGAACTCCTCACTTCAGGTGAGGCTGGTTTTGAACTCCTGACTTCAGGTGATCCATCCACCTAAGCATCCCAAGTGTTGAGATTACAGTTGTGAACCACTGCACCTGGCCTATATGTCTTCCTAATGATTAAAAATGTGCATTTTAGGCCATGCGTAGTGGCTCACGCCTGTAATCCCAGCACTTTGGGAGTCTTAGGTGGGTAGATCACCTGAGGTCAGGCGTTCAAGACCAACCTCGCCAACATGGTGAAACCCAGCCTCTACTAAAAATATAAAAAATTAGCTGGGCTTGGTGGTGGGCACCTGTAATCCCAGCTGTTCAGGAGGCTAAGGCAGGAAAATCACTTGAACCTAGGAGGCGAGGTTGCAGTGAGCCAGGATTCCACCACTGTACTCTGGCCTGGCGACAAGAGTGAAACTTCATCTTAAAAAAAAAAAGACATGTAAATGAAATGTCTTTACTGCAGAACGTGCTGAGTTTATGGGATATTTACACTCTAACTCCTGTATGGAACTGGCCCTGTCTTCACATAGAAGAGTTTCTTCTTACTACAGAAGCAGATTCTCCTTCGTCAGTCACGTGGTACGTTATGACTATGGCTAGTACTCATTTCCCTTCTGTTAGCACCAGATTTCTTGTCGTGTTTTGTTCAGATTATTTATTATGTTCTGCATTTTAAACAACTCTCAAACAGCCTGACAGAGTTAAGACTGATTTATTGTTTGGAAAATTCATTGGGAATAAGTTGACAATATGAACCTCCAAGTGATTGTGTTAGAAACTGTCACTCTGGTGAATAAACATGCAGAAATGGAATACAGTGTCTACTACAATGTGCATTTTATTTTTTATGCAAGAGGGTCACTTTAACTTAGTTTACTATGTCTTGCAATTGGCAAGGCATACTTTTTAAAATTGACAGATAACGTTGTATGTTTTTATTGTGTAAAAGCTTATTTGAATTATTTAAAGCTTCTTTTATCTTTTAGGCAAGGAATTACGAATCTCAAATTAATAGCTCTGACAGCTACAGCTAATAAGAAGGTATTGGAAAATTTTATATCATGCTTGTCCATATTATGTGTTAGAAAAAGCATTAGCTAATACAAAAGTAAATGTTAAATAGTACAGCATATTAGCTCTTAGTTCACACAGAAACTTGACAATCAGAAATAGTCCTGCAGAACTTTTTTTTTTTTTTTTTTTTAAGACGGGGTTTCATTATGTTGGTCAGGCTGGTCTTGAACTCCCTACCTCAGGTGATCCGCCCGCCTTGGACTCAGGCATGAGCCACCACACCAGGCCTAGAACTCTTTTTTTCCCATTTAAAATAAAAAGTTATAAATCTTGACTGATTTTTTTTTTTTTAAGAGGAGAAACTCTGTCTCAAAATAAAATAAATCATAACTAACAAACTTATAAATGCTTACTTTTTGCATGTAGCTTTATGCCATGTGTTTTATTATTTATTATTTATTTTGAGACAGAGTCTCACTCTTTCACCCAGACTGGAGTGCAGTGGCGCAATCTCAGTTTACCACAACCTCTGCCTCCAGGTTCCAGCAATTAACCTGCCTCAGCCTCCTGAGTAGCTGGAATTACAGACGTGCACCACCACACCTGGCTAATTTTTTGTACTTTAGTAGAGATAGGGTTTTGCCATGTTGCCAGGCTGGCCTCAAACTCCTTAACTCAGGCAATCTGCCTGCCTCAGCCTCCCAAAGTGCTAGGATTACAGGCATGAGCCACTGTGCCCCACCGCTCCCATGTGTTTTAATCTGCTCTTAATTGTGAAGTGCTGTTTTGTGTTTGCCGGTTTAAATTGATCTGCTAAATTAATTGTTCTGCTATTTTTCTTAGATGAAAAACCTCATGGTTTATTCATTACCTACAATGGAAATACTATATTCTTTGGAAGTATCTAGCGTTTCTTCTCTGGTCCAAACAGGAATTAGTGCAGTAAGTTTATTTGCATTTTAAACTATTTTTTTAACTACTTTTTTCTTTATCCAGTATCTAATAAGGGATCACTGAAAGCCTTAATAACTAAGCTAAGCATTAATGGAACCTAGTGGAAACCTGGATAAGTCTCAGGTTTTTAACTATATTTATTAATAGAGATACTTAAATATAATTATTTGTCCAAGGTTAGTCATCATATTAAAAAAAAAAAAAGAAAATCAAATAAAACACCAGTCATCTGCTTATTCTTTTTTGTTTCTCTACAGGAAGTATACATCATAATGGCAGGTGGAGACTATTGCTGTTACATATTTATGTAACTAATTTTCATGTTTATGTAACTAAGTTGTGTATTTTAGAAAATACTGTAACGCATTTGTTTCATTTTTTATACACACACTATATTTTTCCAAACCATTTAGAAATTACTTGTAGACATCATGACCTGTCTGCTTAAATCTTCAGCAGGTATCTCCTAAAAATAAAGACATTCTTCTACAATGCAATTATCACACTCAAAACATGTAACATAAATACAGTACTATTTATTATAAACTCTTCTAAATTCAATTTTACCAATTAGGCCAATTACTTTAATGCTTTTTTTTTTTCCTTATTCATGATCTGTAGGGAGCCAGCCCTACGTCACCTGTAGGTACCCCAAGTTCGGTGGCAATAAAGGAATGAGAAAAAGACAGATTAAGAGTGACAGTGGGACCAGGGGCCATCAGTTTATTACTTCGGAGGAGGCAGTGAAGGCCCAGAGCTCTGATCATCCACACTATTTATTGATTACAGTCACTTTGATCTGTAGGGTAGGGGTGGAGTAATGGTGGAGTAAATCAGTGAGCCGGAAGTGAATCAGTGAGCCGGAACTGGTGTGTCATTCTAAGGATTGATAACAGTGGTGGTTTGGGAGTTTCACAAAACAAGAACATGTGGTTATCTTTAGCTTATTATTTATGTACAGCTGATGAAACACAGGCCTTGCAAGGAGCCTACAAGTCTGGCTATGTCGTAGTGCTACGAAGGGGTTTTACATCCTTGAGCACAATATTTATGGCAACTGAGCCTAGGTCATCCGGTACCAGAACATGAGGCATGGAGAGGCTTTCCTCCTCAGAGGCCTTCCACAGTTTGTTATTCCTTGTTTGTATGTTCCTCATAATCAGTTTAGGCACTCTGTAAGCCCTTTCTCCTTTGCTGCTTTTTCCAACAATGATCTAGTCAAGAATCACTCATCAAATTTAGTTGTCATGGTCATGTGGTAGTCTGATGTAGAATAGTTCCCTAATTTTTTTTTTAAGACAGGGTCTTGCTTTTTTGCCCAAGCTGTAATACAGTGGCGCAGTTATAGCTCACTATAGCCTCCAACTCCTGGGCTTGAGTGAGCCTCCTGAATAGCTGGGAATACAGGTGTGCACCACCAGGCCTGGCTAATTTTTTATTTTTTGAGATGGAGTTTTGCTCTTGTTGCCCAGACTGGAGTGCAGTGGCACGATCTCTACTCACCACAACCTCTGCCTCTCGAGTTCAAGATATTCTCCTGCCTTATCTTCCTGAGTAGCTGGGATTACAAGGAGTACGGCTAATGCTGTATTTTTAGTAGAGATGGGATTTCTCCATGTTAGTCAAGCTGGCCTAGAACTCCTGACCTTAGGTGATTCGCCCACCTCGGCCTCCCAAAGTGCTGGAATTACAGGCGTGAGTCATTGTGCCCGCCCCTGGCTAATTTTTAAATTTTTTGTAGAGAAGAGTTCTCACTATGTTTCCTAGGTTAGACTCAAGCTCCTGGGCTCAGGTGAGCTTCCTGGCCTGGCTCTCCAAAGTGCTGAGATTACTTGTGTGAGCCATCACATGTGGCCCATTTTTTTGTCTTTTAAGACATTGACATTTTTGAAGAGTCCCACCCTGTGGTTTTGTAGAATGTCTCTCTATTTGGATTTATTTGATTGTTTCACCATGATTAGATTCATGTTAAGCTTTTTTGGCATAAATACTGCACAGGTAATACTGTTTTCTAAACACATCACATTAAGGGGCTCGTGGTATCCATTTGTCCTGTTATGGGTGATTTTAAATTTGATCATTTGGTTAAGGCAGTTCTGTTAGATTTCTCCATTCGTAAAGTGTTTTTACCTTAATAGTTAATAAGTAACCTCTGTGATATTATTTTTAGTCTGTGGAAATTTTTTTTCCTAGCCATTTTTTCCCTGTTTTTTTTTTTTTTTTTCTTAAATTTTTGTGGGTACATAGTAGGCATGTATATTTATGGGATATCCAGTTTTAAAATCCACTGATGGATAATTTATGCCTGAACCAGTAGTTACTCTAGTAATTATAAAATACATTGCTCTTATATTGGAATTTTAATCATTTTTTTTTGTTATTGTAGGATACCATATACCTTTTAGAAGGAATTTGCAAAAATGATCCAAAGTAGGTCATGTTTTATCATGTTAAGTAATAGCTACATTAAATTTTACATATTCATATTAAAAGCCGAGTGCATTTATAGTGAAAACTTTTTCCAGATTGTCTGAAGACTCGGTCTCTGTGTTAGTACTCAGATGTCTTACAGAAGCTTTACCAGAAAACAGGTAAATTCTCATTTTCTTTTAAGCTTTACCCTTTAGTTAATAACTTAAATTCCCTGATTAATAAGCATTTAACAAAGTTTCTTTTCCAACTTATCAGATTGAGTCGGTTACTTCACAAACACAGATTTGCTGAAGCTGAGAGCTTTGCAATTCAGTTTGGACTAGATGTTGAGGTAATCATTCATGTATTAATTTGTTCACCAAACAAGCATTTGCTCATGTGCTAGAGGCTTAGGGGACAGACATGTAAGACATAATTGGAATTTGCTGTGAATAGGCCTGTAATTAAGATATGACTGAAGTCAAGTAGAGATTCATAGGAAAGAGTGACCCACAGTGGGACAGAAAAATGTCATTGAGGAGGTTGTTTTCAGGTCAGGTCTTTATTTATTTCTTGAGGTAGAGTCTTGCTCTGTTGCCTAGGCTGGAGTGCAGTGGTGTAATTTTGGCTCACTGCAAACTCTGCCTCCTGGGTTCAAGTGATTTTTCTGCCTAAGTCTCTTGAGTAGCTAGGATTACAGGCATGCATGACCATGCCCAGCTAATTATTTTATTTTGTTTTATTTTTTTGAGACGGAATTTCTCTCTTGCTCCCCAGGCTGGAATGCAATAGCGCGATCTTGGCTTACTGCAGTCTCCACCTCCTGGGTTCAAGTAATTCTTCTGCCTCAGCCTCCTGAGTAGCTGGGATTACAGGCATGCGCCACCACACCTGGCTAATTTTGTATATATATGTGTATATATATATATACACATATATATATATATATATACACATATATATATATATATATATATATATATATATATATATATATATATATATATATATATATATATATATATATACTTTTTTTTTTTTTTTTTTTAGTAGAGGCAGGATTTCTCCATGTTGGTCAGGCTGGTCTCAAACTCCCGACCTCAGGTGATCCACCTGCCTCGGCCTCCCAAAGCTTTGGTATTACAGGCGTGAGCCACTGCACCTGGCCTAATTTTTATATTTTAGGTAGAGATGGGATTTTACCATGTTGGCCAGGCTGGTCTCAAACTCCTAACCTCGTGTTATGCCCGCCATAGCCTCCCAAAGTGCTGGGATTACAGGCATGAGCCACTGCGCTTGGCCTCAGGTCAGGTCTTGAAGGTGTTCCAGACAGATCATGGAGGGGAAGGGATTCTGGGTACTAGGTCAGCATGGATAGAATGAACAGGACTTGTAATACTTCAGGAAGTATTAGGTAGGACTAGAGTGTAGGTTATATGGGCAGCAGAGCAAAAGAAGATGATGATGCTGAAGTAGGGGCCTTTGTCACCCAGGCTGGAGTACAGTGGGGCAATCACAGCTTACTGCCGCTTTGACCTCCCAGGCTCAAGTAATCCTCCTGCCTCACCCTCCCAAGCGGCTGGGACTGCAGGTGTATACCACCATGCCCAGCTAATTTTTAAACTTTTTGTAGAGACAAGGTTTTACTGTGTTGCTTAGGCTGGGCTTGAATTCCTGGGCTCAAGAGATCTGTCTACCTTGGCCTCCCAAAGTTCTGAGATTACAGTCCCAAGCCACCAGTTCTGGCCAGGAGTGAGAGTTGATTTTGCAGGTGATAGGAACCTACTGACAGTTTTAAGCAGGAGAGTATCTTGATTAGGTTGTCATTTTGGAAAGACAGAATTGTTTGGAGAGGGGTAAGTGCATTGGGACTAAGCATCTTTAGGAGACCTGAACCTGGGCAATGAAGTATAGTTAGAGGTGAGAGAGAAGGCTGATTACAGGTGCGGTGGCTCACACCTGCAATTTCAGCACTTTGGGTGGCTAAGGCGGGCAGATAACCTGATATCAGGAGTTCAAGACCAGTCTGAGCAATATAGCAAAACCTAAAAATACTCTACTAACAGTATAAAAATTAGTCAGGTGTGGTGGCGCATGCCTGTAGTCCCAGCTACTCAGGAGGCTGAGGCAGGAGAATTGCTTGAACCTGGGAGGTGGGGGTTACATTGAGCAAAGATCATGCTACTGCACTCCAGCCTGGGCAACAGAGCAAGACTCTGTCTAAGAAAAAAACAGAGAGAAATATAGAGGGTAGAATCCGCAGGACTTAGTGATCAAATGGAAGGAAGGGCAGGAGGCTTGAGGTTGACTTGCTGAACTGTGGCTCATCATACACATTGGGTGATGATGGCGTGATATAAAATGAGGAATAGGTGTGGAAGAGCAGGTTAGGGACAAAAGATGAAAAGTTCTTTATGAAAATTGGATGTGAACTGAGCATAGTGGTGCATGCTGGTAGTCCTTGCTGCTCAGGAGGCACAGGCAGGAGGATTCCTTGAGTCCAGGTGTTGGAGACTATAATGCAATATGACTGGCCTGTTAATAGCCACTGCACCCTAGCCTGGGCATCATAGTGAGCCTCTCTCTCATCTCTAAATTAAAAAAAAAAAATTGGATGTGAGTGGTCTGGTGAAATAGGGTTGTCTGGTGGGAAGTTGAGGAGTGGCCTAAGCTGCCTTTAAAGGTGTGAGTCACCACTGTAATGGCTCAGACCACTCCAGCAAATGCAGAGAGTAAAAAAGAGATCTGAGGATGTGATATGGGGGCAGTGGCATATGAGAGATGGAGGAGGAAGGGTTATACACATATTTGAGAAGAAATGAGAGAGGAAAACTGTAAGAATGTATGATTATAGAAACCAAGGAAGCAGTAAGTTTTAAATGTACTGAGGAGTGATCAGTAGTTTCAAATACTACAGAGAAGATCAAGTATAAAAGCTGAAAGATGTCTGGAGGATGCAGCAATTAGGTCATTGATAATCCTTGAAAAGTTAGTTTTTGGGGAAGTAATGAAAGAGAAAGTCTGATTGTAGTTGGTTAAATAATTAATATTTACTGGCCAGGCACGGTGGCTTATGCCTGTAATCCCAGCACTTTGGGAGGCCAAGGTGGGTGAATTGACTGAGCTCAGGGTTCGAGACCAGCCTGGGCAACATAGTGAAACCCTGTCTCTACTGACATACAAAAAAAAAAATTAGCTGGGTGTGGTGGTGTGCGCCTGTAGTCCCAGCTACTTGGGAGGCTGAGGAAGGAGAATTGCTTGAATCCGGGAGGTAGAGGTTGCAGTGAGCTGAGATGGCACCACTGCACTCCAGCCTGGGCAACAGAGCAAGACTTCATCTCCAAAAAGAAAAAAAGAATTAATATTTACTAAGTCGGTGCTTGCTATTCATATGTTTGTTTTAAAAATACAGTGTTTTAAAACATACAGAATAATTCTTTAAAAATATATACGTATATACATACATGTATATAAACATATATGTGCATATAAATACATACATATATATATATGTATTTTTTGTAAAGATGGGGTTTCACCATGTTGGCCAGGCTGATCTTGAACTCCTGACCTCAAGTGATCTACCCACCTCAGTGTCCCAAGGTGCTGGGATTACAGGCGTGAGCCACTGCGCCTGGCTGAAAAAAATATATATATTTTTATATATGTTTTGTAGAGACAGGGTCTTGCTATATTGCCCAGGCTGGTCTTGAACTCTCCTGACTTCAAGTGATCCTCCCTCCTTGGGCACCCAAAGTGCTGGGATTATAGACCTGAGCCACCATGTCCAACAAGAATAATTCTGTGTATTTAGAAATGTATATGAGTTAAGAGACAAAGGAAGTAATAGAATAAGTACTAAATACAAGAATAATGTATACTTCTGGTTGGGGACGGAGGATGATGTATTTGGGAAGAAAACAGTGGGATCTGAAACTATTGGTAACATCTGTTTTATTTTTTTAAGCTAAGGGTGATGAGTATATTACTATTATAGTATTTATAATTTACACTATTACCTTTTTGAACATCTGAAAGATTTTAGAACTAATGTAATCCCAGCTCTTTGAGAGGCCAAGGCGGGTGTATCACTTGAGGCCAGGAGTTCAAGACCAGCCTGGCCAACATGGTGAAACCCTGTCTCTACTGAAAATACAAATAGTAGCTAGGCATGGTGGTGGGTACCTGTTGTTCCAGTTACTCGGGAGGCAGAGGCAGGTGAATTGCTTGAATGAGAAGGCAGAGGTGCAGTGAGCTAGGATTGCAACACTGCACTCCAGCCTGGACAACAGAGCGAGACTCTGTCTCAAAAAAAAAAAAAAGAAAAAGAGAAAACAAGAATAATTGTACATATTTTCGAGGTGCAGTGTGGTGCTTTTATACATTTGCATTGTGCAGTGACTAAATCAAGCTAACTAACATATCTGTCACCTCACTTATCTTTTTTTGTGGTGAGAACATTTTAAAACCTACTTTTTTTAAGCATTTTTTTTTCTTTTTTGAGATGGTCTTGCTTTGTCTTGCAGACTGGAGTTCAGTGATACAATTTCGGCTCACTGCAACCTCTACCTCCAGGGTTCAAGTGATTCTCGTGCTTCAGCCTCCTGAGTAGCAGGGATTACAGAAGCACACCACCATGCCTGGTTAATTTTTTGTACTTTAGTAGAGACGGGGTTTTGCCATGTTGCCCAGGCTGGTCTCGAACTCCTGAGCTCAGGCAATCCGCCTGCTTCGGCCTCCCAAAGTGCTAGGATAATAGGTGTGAGCCACCACACCTGGCTCTTTTAGCAATTTTGAAATATACATTGTTACTAACTATAGTCATTATAGACCTCTGAAACTTATTCTTCCTTCTTTTTTTTTTTTCCCTTTTTTTAAATATGCAGAGTCTTACCGTGTTGCCCAGGCTGGCCTCGAACCCCTGGTCTCAAATTATCATCCCACCTTGGCCTCCTGAGCAGGCTGGCACTACATGCAGCTTCTAGACTAAACAATATTTTGTTGTGCAAATATACCACATTTTCCTTATTTACTTATCTGTTGATGGATAGCAGCTTCTAGACTAAACAGTATTTTATTGTGCATCTTTATTCAATGATCTGTTGATGGATATGTAGATTTCATATCTTAGCTCATATGAAGCTGTTAGTAAGTGCACTGCTTGACATGTTTAATAAGGGCTCAACATAAATGGTTCCTTACCTGCTAATAATCTGGATTATCGCTCAGATATCTAAATGTTACTTTCTCTAAATCTTATTCCTGGAGCACATGAGGATTCACCTTTTTCATGGTAGTTTGTCTTATTCAGCTTACTGTGAGAATAAGCCATCCTCTGGTATTATTGTACTTCATATTGCTTGATGTGGCATATTTACATTACAGCCTGTTTACAAGGTCAAGTCAAATCATATATTAGAGAAACTGGCTTTGAGTTCTGTGGATGCCAATGAACAGACTGAATGGCAACAACTTATAGACGACGCTAAGGAAAATCTACATAAAATCCAGGTATGTTTTCTCTGTCATATACTGGAATACTGAGATTGATGTGTTGATGAACATTAGGTTGCCTTACTGTGTCTGGCATTTGTGAAACAGGATGATGAATTTGTGGTGAATTACTGCCTGAAGGCTCAGTGGATAACCTATGAAACTACTCAAGAGATGCTGAATTATGCCAAAACCAGGGTAGGTTCTTTTTTTTGTATTTTAGGTTTTTTTTTTTTTTTTTTTTTTTTTTTTTGGTGGGGATAATTTGCTTTAATCTCTCATAATTCTACCACCTCAAATATATTTTTTCCTCCTATCCTCTATGTGTATCATTAATAAAAAAGTTTTTATAACAGCCTTATGGAGATAATTCATATCCTGCACAATTCACCTATTTAAAGTATACAGTTCAGTGGTTTTTAATATATTCATTGAGTTGTGCAAGCATCATTGTCAATTTTAGAACTTCTAAACCTCTCCAAAAAAGAACCTCTATCTCAGGCCAGATGTGATGGCCCACACCTTAATCCCAGCACTTTGGGTGGCCAAGGTGGGTGAATCACCTGAGGTCAGGAGTTCGAGACCAGCCTGGCTGACATGATAAAATCCCATCTCCACTAAAAATATAAATATTAACTGGGTGTGGTGGCATGCGCCTGTAGTTCCTGCTATTTGAGAGGCTGAGGCAACGAGAATCACTTGAAGCTGGGATACAGAGGTTGTGGTGAGCTGAAATTACACCATTGCACTCCAGCCTGAGTGACAGAGCGAGACTTCGTTTGAAAAAATGAACTTAGGGCTGAGTTCAGTGGCTCAGACCTGTAATCCCAGCAATTTGGGAGGCCATCGCGGGTGGATCACCTGAGGTAAGGAGGAGTTCAAGGCCAGCCTGGCCAACATGGTGAGACTCTGTCTCTACTAAAAATGCAATAATTAGCCAGATGTGGTAGTGCACAGCTGTAATCCCAGCTACACGGGAGAATGAGGCAGGAGAATTGCTTTAACATATGAGGCCAAGGTTGCAGTGAGCCAAGATCACGCCACTGCACTCCAACCTGGGTGACAGCCTGAGACTTTAGATCCAAAACAAAACAAAATAAAAAGTTAAATTAAATTGGCTGGATGCGGTGGCTCATGCCTGTAATCCTAGCATTTTGGGGAGGCCAAGGTGGGTGGATCGCAAGGTCAAAGATTGAGACAATCCTGACCAAAATGGTGAAACCCCATCTCTACTAAAAATACAAAAATTAGCTGGGCATGGTGGCACGTGCATGTAGTCTTAGCTACTTGAGAGGCGAGGCAGGAGAATCGCTTGAACCAAGGAGGTGGAGGTTGCAATGAGCTGAGATCATGCCACTGTATTCCAGCCTGACTTTAGAGTGAGACTCCATCTCAAAAAAAAAAAAAGAAAAAAATCAAATTAAAAAGTTTAAATGGCCAGGTGCTGTGGGTCATGCCTATAATTCCAGTAGTTAGGGAGGCAGAGGTGGGCAGGTCACCTTAGGTCAGGAGTTCGAGACCAGTCTGTACAACATGGTGAAACCCCTTGTCTACTAAAAATATAAAAATTAGCAGGGTGTGGTGGTGTCCTCCTGTAATTCCAGCTACTCAGTAGCCTGTGGCAAGAGAATCTCTTGAACCTGGGAGGCAGAGATTGCCGTGAGCGGAAAATGTGCCACTGCACTCCAGCTTGGGTGAAAGAGAGAGACTCTGTATCAAAAAAAAAAACAAAGGAAAAAAAGAGAACCTCTATGCCATTAATAGTCATTTCCCATTCCCACAGTCCCACAGCTTCAGGAAACCACTAATTTACCTCCTGTCTCTCTAGATTTGCCTATTCTGGACAGTTCAAATAAATTGAGTCATATATGTGTCCTTGATGTCTGATTTCTTTCACTTAGAATAATATTTTCAGGGTTCATTCATGCTGTGGCGTGTGTCAGTGCTATATATTTCTTTTTATTGCCAAATATCCTATTTTATGGATATACCACATTTTGTTTCTGCATTTATCAATTGATGGACATTTGGGTTATTTCTACTTTTTCCCCCAATTTTGTTTTTGTTTTGTTTAAAAAAAAATACATAACATGAAATTTACCATCTTAACCTTTAAAAAAAATATATATATATATAATTTTATTTTTTAGAGAGAGTCTCACACTGTTGCCCAGGCTGGAGTGCAGCAGCGTGATCTCTGCTCACTGCAGCCTCCACCTCCTGGGTTCAAGTGATTCTCCTGCCTCAGCCTCCCGAGTAGCTGAGTTTATAGGCACCTGCCACCACACCTGGTTAATTTTTGTATTTTAGTAGAGATGAGGTTTCACCATGTCAGTCAGGCTAGTCTCAAATTCCTGACTGCAAATGATCTTCCTGTCTCGGCCTCCCAAAGTGCCATGATTATAGGCGTGAGCCACTGCATCCTGCCTATCTTAACCATTTTAAAATTGAGTAGTGTTAAATACATTTATAATCACATGCAACCATCATCCAACTCCCCAACTCTTTTCATCTTTATGAAACTGAAACTCTGCCCATTGAACACTGACTTCCCATTTCCCAGTCTCCCCAGGCCCTGGCAAACCATTTGCTGTCTATGTATATAATTTTGACTATTATAAGTACTTTATATTGTATGGAATTATACAGTACTTGTCTTTTGTAACTGGCTTATTTCACTTAGCATAATATCCTCTAGGTTCATTTATGTTGCAAATGACAGAATTTCTTTCCTTTTTGTTTATCCATGGTCCCTTACTCTGACCCTAACCCTGACTTCTTATTTCCACATTTTTGCTGCTGTGCATAATACTGCTATGAACATGGGTATACAGATGTCTATTCGAGTCCCTCTTTCAGTTATTTGGGGTATATACCCAGAAGTGGAAATGTTAGGTCATATCCTGATTCTCTTTTTTTGAGACAGGGTCTCACTGTCGCCCAGGCTGGAGTGTGGTGGCATGATCTTGGTTCGCTACAACCTCCGCCCCCCCAACCCACCACTCCCCAGCTCAAGTGATTTTCTCCCCTCAGCCTCCCAAGTAGCTGGGATTATAGATGTGTGCCACCACGCCCAGCTAATTTTTGCAGTTTTAGTGGAGACAGGGTTTCACCATGTTGGCCAGGCTGGTCTTGAACTCCTGACCTCAGGTGATTCGCTGCCCACCTTGGCTTCCCAAAGTGCTGAGATATCAGGCATGAGCTACCACATCGAGCCCTAATTCTCTCTTTAATTTTTTAAGGAACCATGTTAGTTTCCACAGTGATTGTGCCATTTCACATTTTCAGCCACAGTGCATGAATGTTCCAATGTCTCCACATCTTTGCTAATACTTTTTGTTTTTGAGACAAAGTTTTGCTCTGACCCAGGATGGAGTGCAATTGTAATGCATTGCAGCCTCAAACTCTTGGGCTCAAGCAATCCTCTTGCCTAAGACTCTCAAGTGTTGAGATATTGGGCCAAGTGCGGTGGCGGTAATCCCAGCACTAATGGATGTAAGGTGGGAGGGTAAGTTCTTTTTTGAGACGGAGTCTTGCTCTGTCACCTAGGTTGGAGTGCAGTGACGCGATTTCAGCTCACCGCAACCTCCGCCTCCTGGGTTCAAGTGATTATCCTGCCTCAGCCTCCCAAGTAGCTGGGACTACAAGTATGTGCCACCATGCCCAGCTAATTGTTTGTATTTTTAGTAGAGATAGGGTTTCACTATGTTGGCCAAGTTGGTCTCAAACTCCCGACCTTGTGATCTGCCCGCTTCGGCCTCCCAAAGTGCTGGGATTACAGGCATGAGCCACCTCACCTGGCTGGAGGGTAAGTTTTGATACTGTTTGTGTATATTAGTTTGTCTTATACCTAAGAAATAATTTTTTAAAAATGGATTATTTGCTGGGCACAGTGGCTCATGCCTGTAATCCCAGCACATTGGGAGGCCCAGGCAAGCAGATCACTTGAGGTCAGGAGTTCGAGAACAGCCTGGCCAATATGGTGAAACCCCATCTCTACTAAAAATATGAAAAAAAATTAGCTGGACATCGTGGCGCATGCTTGTAATCCCAGCTGCTTGGAAGGCTGAGGCAGGAGAATTGCTTGAACCCATGAGGCAGAGGTTGCAGTGAGTGGAGATTCTATCACTGCACTTCAGCCTGGATGACAGAGCAAGACCCTGTCTCAAAATAATAATAATAATAATAATAAAGATAAAATAAAAAATGGTTTCTTTTCCTGTCATAGACCCTTTTTTACATGCAGTTTTTGTGATTGCAAATAATGCCATTTTTGCAATGACCTATGAGTATTGTTGCTCTATTTTTATTTATTATTTTTTATTTGAGATGGAGTCTCATGTTGTACCCCATGCTGGAGTGAGGTGGTACCATTTCGGCTCATGGCAAGCTCAGCTTCCTGGGTTCCAGGGGTTCTCGTGCCTCAGCCTCCTTAGTAGCTGGGACTACAGGTGTGTGCCACCATGCCTGGCTAATTTTTTTGTATTTTAGTAGAGACAGGGTTTCACTGTGTTGCCCAGAGTAATCTCGAACTCCTGAGATCAGGCAATCCACTTGCCTCAGGCTCCCAAAGTGCTTGGATTACAGGCGTGAGCCATCGCCCCCAACCAAAAGCATTACTTTTTTTAAAAAAGTCACTTCTTTATACTTTAATATTCATTTCACACTTAAATGCAATTTGTTAAAATTTTTTTTTTGTTTTTGCTGGGTATGGTGGTGGGCGCCTGTAATCTCAGCTACTTGGGAGGCTGAGGCAGAGGAATCGCATGAACCCAGGTGGCAGAGGCTAAGGTGAGCCGAGATTGTACCATTGCACCCCAGCTTGGACAACTAGAGAGAAACTCTGTCTCAAAAAAAAAATTTTTTTTTGTTCACAGAAAATCCATCTTTTAGGAAATAGCTAACATAGTAGATTTTCTTCTAACTGTATTTCTTATTATTCTTAGCTTTTGAAGAAAGAAAAAACCCTTCTCATTTATTCTGATGGCTTGAAAGAGGTAATTTCATTAGATGTATAGGTTAATATGTGGGTGAATATACCTTTATAATATGTTTTCTATTCAAGATAGGCCCATATTTTATCAAGAGCAAGTTATTTTAATACCTCAGTTTTCTTATCTGCAAAATCATAATAGGTATATACTTTATAAGGTCATTTTGGGATCAAAGGAAATAATTCCTATAAACTGTTGTGCATAGTACCTGGTACCTGCTAAACATTCAAATGAAGATAAACTGTGATGATGATTATGATGATGCCAAAATACATGTGTGCGTGCATGTGTGCATATAGATATTTAAATTCTTAGTTCAAAGTAAATACTGTAATCCAGCTGTATTTGGCCATAAGAACTTAGAAATCAGTGAGAAAACTGATTTTAAAGAGTACCTATAGGCTGGGCTTGGTGGCTCACACCTGTAATCCCAGCATTTTGGGACGCCCAGGTGGGTGGATCACCTCAGGTCAGGAGTTCGAGAGCAGCCTGGCCAACATGGTGAAACCCTGTCTCTACCAAAAATACAAAAATTAGCTGGAGTGGTGGCAGGCGCCTGTCATCCCAGCTGCATGGTGGCTGAGGCAGGAGAATAACTTGAACTTGGGAGGCAGAAGTTGCAGTGAGTTGAGATTGCGCCACTGCACTCCAGCCTGGCTACAAGAGTGAAACTCTGTCTAAAAAAAAAAAACAGTACCTATAATTAATGTATGTGTGCCTTTATAATTGGATGTAATTGGAAATTTTAAATCTCTTGTTTTGTGTGTGTATGTGTATTAAATAAAGGAAGCCCTATGGGAATTGAGTTGTGATGTGAGATAAAATGTGAATGTGTATTTACATGTGAAACGTAATGATTAATTTTTAGTGTTTTTAAATTTCAATATTATTGCATATAAATTCAGATTATTAAATTATTTTTTCTTCAGGTGCTAAGAGCTCATGCAAAACTGACTACCTTTTATGGAGCATTTGGACCAGAAAAATTCAGGTGTGTATATTCCCTGTTAAAATTTTTTTGGCCAGGAATGGTGTCTCACGCCTGTGATCCCAGCACTTTGGGAGCTGGAGGCGGGTGTATCACCTGAGGTCAAGAGCTTGAGACCAGCCTGGCAACATGGCGATATTTCGTCTCTACTAAAATGCAAAAATGAGCCAGGTGTTGTGGTAAACACCTGTAATCTCAGCTACTAGGGACGCTGAGACAGTAGAGTTGCTTTAACTGGGGAGGTGGAGGTTGCAATGAGCTGAGATCACACCACTGTACTCCAGCCTGGGCGACAGCACAAGACTTGATCTCAAAACAAACACAAAATTTTTTTAGATTATAAGTTACATAGAAATTTTGAATGTCATAAAAGCTATAGCATTCCTCTTCATGATTTGTGTTTCTATTGGGGGGGGGTGTTGAGTGATGGGAAATACTGTCTTTCCAGCAACAAAACTGGCTGAACATCCTTGTTGTCATTCCTTTTTTTTTTTTTTTTTTGAGACAGCGTCTTGCTCTGTTACCCAGGTTAGAGTACAGTGGCACAATAATAGACCACGGCAGCCTCAACTTCTTAGGCTCAGTAGAAATCTAGCTATTCTGGATAAATCAAGTATTTGGTTCCTTATCTTCAAAGAAGTAAACTCTCTTAAAACCATTTCTGGCTGGTTGCAGTGGCTCACGCCTGAAATCCCAGTACTTTGGGAGGCTGAGGTGGGCAGATTACGAGTTTGAGACCAGCCTGGCCAACATAGTGACCCCCATCTCTACTAAAAATACAAAAATTATCGGGGCATGGTGGTGTGCACCTGCAGTCCCAGCTACTCGAGAGGCTGAGGCTAGAGAATGCTTGAACTTGGGAGGTGGAGGTTGCTGTGAGCTGAGATTGTGCCACTGCACTCCAGCCTGAGCAACAGAACAAGATTCTGTCTCAAAAAAAAAAAAAAATTCTAAGCCGTGGCTGGGCGTGTAGCTCATGCCTGTAATCCAGCACTTTTGGAGGCCTAGGTGGGCGGATCACAAGGTCAGGAATTCGAGACCAGTGTGGCCAACATGGTAAAACCCTGACTCTGCTAAAGATACAGAAATTTCCATGCACCTGTAATCTTAGCTATTCGAGGAAGGCTGAGGCAGGAGAATCACTTGAACCTGGGAGGCAGAGGTTGCAGTGAGCCGAGATCATGCCATTGCACTCCAACCTGGGGGACAGGGTGAGACTCTATCTTAAAGAAAAAAAAAAAAAAGGAAAACCATTTCTAAGTTTCAAGATATCTAAGATTATATAGATTTATATGGATTCTGTAACTGACATTACTATTTAACAGTAGTAATTCTGTCCTATATAATACAAAACATAGTTTATATTGCAAGGCATTACAGAACAATTTCGTCTACAACAGCTATTCCAAGACACCCTGTAACCTGCAGCTCCCAGGTCATTCTGTGTGAGCGCAAGAAGCTGCTCCAAGGCAGCCGTAATTGTTTGTCTTTCTAGAAGTAAATTTACCCAGGACTTTTTTCACTAGGCCACCCTAGCAGTGAGAGAGGTAGATCTTCATATGTGTAAGTTCATCTTTTCCATCCTATTGATTAACAGACATAAAAATTGGATTTACTTATATTTCACTCAGTGAAAATCTTACCTCTTTAGAATGATCTGGCTCTTTTTATAGTGCCAATCGTGGCTCATGCTTGTAATTCCAGCTACTTGGGAGGCTGAGGCACGAGAATTTCTCAAACCAATGAGATAAAGGTTGCAGTGAGCCGAGATTTACTCCACTTCACTATAGCCTGGGCCACAAAGTGAGACTTCATCTTAAAAAAAATAAAATACAATAAAAATGCCTGTAATCCCATCTATTCAGGAGGCTGAGATGGGAGGATTGCATGAGCCCAGAAATTCAATTCCAGCCTGAGCAACAAAGCGAGATCACATCTTCAAAAAGCAAAAACAAGAATGAAAAATAATTATTTCTACATGTAGTGATTATCTGAGGAAGGCCCTACAAAAAGTTGCATTGCTCTGGGGAAGATGACAGGAGTTGTAGGGTCTAAGATAAGAAGGAAATGTACTCTGCACTGTTTTTAACTTTATGAAGAACAAAACTAATTAAAATGCATATAAGGATAAGCACTTAAAAGGTATAACCTTAATTTTTTTTTAACTAACTTTTTTCCCTTCTTTGTCTATTCAGTGGCAGTTCTTGGATTGAATTTCTAAATAATGAAGATGAACTTAAAGATATTTTTTTACAGCTAAGAGAAGGAAACCTTGTTTGTGCACAGTACCTTTGGCTTCGACATCGGGTAACATGTTTCACATTTTTTCCTTAACAGCTTTGTAGCTCCTGAGTTAGGTGATTGAATCAATGTTGGAAGCTAACAGAGCGCAAATGTGACTGGGTGATGGGGTGTATTTTGATTGGTTGCTAAAATATGACTTGCTTTTGTTTGCGAAGGGCAAGGGGATAAAAAAGACTTTGCCCATTGGCCAGGCACATTGGCTCACTCCTGTAATCCCAGCATTTTGGGAGGCTGAGGTAGGTGGATCACTTAAGGTCGGGAGTTTGAGACCAGCCTGGCCAACATGGTGAAACACTGTCTCTACCAAAAATACAAAAATTAGCTGGGCATGGTGGCATGTTCCTGTAGTCCCAGCTACTCGGGAGGCTGAGGCAGGAGAATTTCTTGATCCTGGGAAATGGAGGTTGCAGTGAGCCAAGATCATGCCATTGCACTCCAGCCTGGATAACAGAATGGCACTCTGTCTCAGAAAAAAGAAAAAAAAAAGAGACTTTTCCCAGAGAAAATTGTCCTTTAATGATATTAAATCAGAAGAAGTACTATGTACTGTGAGGATACAGTATAACCTTATTTTGTCCAATCATTAAGAGTCTAGATTCTTGGGAGCTAAATGATGAGAACACATGGACGCATAGAGGGAAATAGCACACACTGGTGTCTTTCTGAGAGTGGAGTGTGGGAACAGATAAAGGATCAGGAAAAATACCTAAATGGTTAATAGGCTTAATTGCTGGGTGATGAAATAATTTGTACAACACACTTTTTGACACAAGTTCACCTACGTAACAAACCTACACTTATACCACAAACCTACACTTAACACTGCTGAACTTCAAATAAAAGTTAACCAAAAAAGAGTCGTCTAACTCCTAATCTTAGCTCAAAAGGCAACATATTATTTTTTTTTTTTTTTTTTTTTTTTTTTTTTTTTTTTTTTTTTTTTTTTTTTTTTTTT